AAAAAAAAACAGAAACACAAAGCGATACACAGTTAAAAAGAGGAAACAAGGAAAATCTTGACAATGTGCTGGGGATAATTCCATTTGTTTGGTGTATAAAAACTTAAGTACTGACCAGCTTCATTGTTCAGAGTGCAGTTGTGAATGCAACAAGTCTATAAATTATATCACACTAATCTGCCGCTGAGAGAGACCCCCACAACACTTAACGTACAATTTTACAGGAAGTACTAAGAACTATCTTAAGGTTAACATCGACGAGCACTCAAGTGCTAAAGTTGTAGGTTCTTAAACAGAACATTGTACAGAATTTGTAAAACAATAAAGAATAGTAGAATAGATTTCACAGTCAGTTTGAGAACAATATATATTATTAATATAGATTGTAATCAAGACAGCCCAGGACTGATTCTTGTGGATCACCATTGTTAATTGGTTTCTCCTAGCTTTGAAACAAAGTCCTTAAAACCTTATAATACAAAGGGATGGAAAATAATCCAACTCCAACATATTACAAGTACATTGACAACAGTGAGTGTTGCTGATAATCACACATAAAAGTGGATGTTTATAGCAGACATTTTGATGGTTATTTGGAGGAAGAAAACTGATTGTTTCAGGGGTTGTTTTCTATCTACTGTGTTGTCCCAGAATGCAATTAGATGAAATTGTCTAAAACCCCCACCAAAACTATTTTTTGTTCACTATTGAAACACATTTTTTAAACAACTGTAAAAACTTACTTGTCTCCACTTTGGTTCCTCCACCAAACAGGATCTCTCCACATGTGACCATAGCGCAGTAGTAAGTCCCAGCATCAGAGACTTTCTGTATAGTTCTGGGCAGTCGATAGACACAGCCTTGCTCATCACTTGTGTTCTTGTGAGTGTAAATGATGCCAGGATGCAAGTGTCCTGATCCAGCTGTGAACCAGTGCACACTGTGTTCACCTGGACACTGGACCATGTCGTCTTTGTTTTTGGAGAAAAGTGAACACTGGAGGGTCACTGAGGCTCCCATCTGGACTGACACCGTCTCTGGACTTTGTTTCACGAGAACAGATTTCTGCTGATTCTGATCTGTATGGTTTGATTTAAAAGGGCACAACATAATTTTTTTGGGCTTATGACCATGAGCTCAGACACTGTATCCAACGTGGTTAAGTGAATAAAGAAAAACATTAAAATGATCTAAATTAGAAAATGAAAAGTAAAAAATAGTTTACCATTCACAACCAGGAAGATGCCGTTAACAAAGGTCTGTGAATACGCCGTTCCATTTTGACAGGAGTATGTTGCTTCATCCTCCTTCTCCACATTTATGATGTTAAGAGAATAATGGGACTTCTCCTCTGTTACTGTGAAACGCGAGTTCTTAAATTGCTCGCTAAGCGATTGCTTGGAAAAAGTTCCTGTGGCGACTGTTTGGAACAGGTATCCAGGAGTCTGCTTGTACCAATGGAAGAATTTGCCTTCCTTCTCCGAGACTTGACATTTTAAAGTAGCATTTTGACCAACCTCCACCACCATCAAGGAGATCTGGGGAGGAACCTCAGCAGTTTGAGTCAGAGCTGAACAAAAGGATCAAAACAAATCATCTGCCATTAAATCTGGTTAATGCCATTAAATATACTTTCAC